CCCCCCGCCTTCCCCGCTGCCGCTGCGCCGCCGCCGCAGCCCGGAGTATTGTGGGTCTTGTAGTCCGGCGCGGTGAGCAGTCCCCGCCCTCCGCCCCGCGGACCCGCGTGCGGGCTCGGCTGCCTGGTCTCGGTGCCCGCAAATCGCTGAGGGGCTGGTGGGGGCGTGTCTGGGGGTTGTTCCAGCCCGCAGAGGTTTGGGCGGCAGCAGCATCCTCCCCCACCCCCTCGGGCAGCCAGGGCATGTATCACTCCAGAAACTAAGGTCCGCTGGAGCTTGTCAGAGCACCGGTGTTTCGAGATGCAGCCTTTGGGGAGCTCAGGTGGACCCTACCCCGGCCTAGTCTTAAGTCAGAGTGGACGCCGGAAGGCATCCTGGACCCTCCAAGTTGACTCTTCAGCCCAGAGCCCAATAGCCTTGGGCTGCCCCACCAGGCTGGCTGAGGATATCCATCTTCAGGGCTGGCCACCGCGGTTTGGGCTGCCTTATTTACCTGGTCCCCTTCTCCACTTTGTCCCTGTAAGACTGTGCAAGAAGCATGAACTTTGGAACCTGGCACAAATGCTGATCCCTTATCCCGTGCTTATCAACTATATGACCTTGTGTGCGTTATTGAATCTCTTTGAACCTAGATTTCTTCGTTCCTAAAACATACCTCATAAGACAATTGTAAGGAAAAAATTAGGTGTTTTATTAAACAAGTGTGAAAACTATGTAGGGGATCTGTCACACAGTAGACATTTGTTCACTTGGTGTTAGAACACTTCCTCCACCCAAATCTGGCCTCAGAAATTAGGTCCTTAGAGTATTGCTGTACAGGGGATGTTGAGCCTCGGCCTGGCCCGGGCCAGTTAATCTCCATGGGTTTTCCCTCCTTCCTCTGGGCTTCTATAGCCACAGAGAGGCACAGAGATCTTACATCCTAGATGGTATAGACCAGTCTTGATTAAAAGTAATGCACCCTAGTGTTCTGATAGCAAATGCTTACTTGTGGGAGCAAGCACCCCAAATGTTGCCTTGGGACAGTCAGTTTAGATTTATAATACAAAGAACTAACTTATTTCTAGTTCCTTCCTTCCCATTTATTCATTTATTCTAGAAATATTTTTTAAATGTATACTAGGTACTGGGCACTTGGTGAGATGCTGGGAGTACAGTGAATCAGACTCTATCCCTGCCCTCATGTGGCTCATATACTAATAAAGGAGACAAGTAGCCCACCAGTGCTAAAACAGGTATGTGCTGGCTGCCGGGGCAACACTTTTGAGGGACTCTTTACCCTCAACAGCTCTACTGGGAGGTACCTGGTGCACCTTCTTGCTGTCAATTCTAATTAAGCTTCTAAAAGATATGTTAGATATTTTGCTTGTAGACTTACAGAACATAGGGTAGGTGATTTGTTCAACCACTATATTTTGCAGATGAAGCCCAGAGAGGGTGCAAGACATTCTGAAGGTCAAGCAGGTACGTAGAACCCACATCCCTCAGGAGCTTGGGAGGCCCCCGGTGTTGATTAGCTCGCACCAGCTTCTTTGGAAGGTACAAGAAACTTAGGAATGGTGACTGGGTTGGTACTGGGGTAGAGTTATGTAGGTAGCTGAATGGTGGGCAACGTTTTGCTGGGAAAAGACCCAGCTTGGCCTGGGAAGTGGAAGGATATGTAAAAAGGATGACTGTGCCAGAGGACATCGGGGTGTAGCCCTGGCAGGCTGATTGGCTGGGACCAGTGCTCTGCAAATGCCCCCTCTTATGGGGTTCAGGAAAGTTGCGGGGGTGGCTAGCAAAACTGCATACAGCTTTAGCAGTGGGGATGCAGAAGAGCTAGGACGTCGAGGGAACTCCCTGGCCCCAGGAGTGGACAGGAACACAGTATAGACAAGGGAGAGAGGACAAAGAAAATTGAGACAGTCATGTGGACTCTGGTGCGTGTCTTGAATGGGGTGAGTGGGAAAGAAGGCATAATATTTGATTCCTTTCTCTTCCTCCTTCCCCCTTTCAGTGGGGTCCAGCTGTGCTCACTGGTCCCCTCCCAGTCCGGCAGTGGGTGTCTTTTAGGAGAGGCTGGAAGATAAGTGTGGGGACGTTGTTGTTTAAAGTGTCATTTCCAAGGGCCCCGCAGATGAAGCTCTCCTCAGGAAGAACTGGAAATAGAATCCGGAAATCCAGATTTCCAGCCTAGGTGCTGCAGCCGGCAATGGAGAGTCCAGGCAGGGCCTGGGAGAGAACCCTGGGTCGGCGTGGTCTCTAGGGTTGACCTCAGGGCCCTGGGACAGGGGAGCCTGTGCCGCACTGAAGGCAGGGCGATGTAAGGGAGGCGCAACTGGGCCTGGCCTGGCGACCCTCCTCGGCCAATCAGCCGCGTTCACCAGTACCCTCGGGCGCAGGGCACTGTGCGGGCGCTGCCCAGAGATCGGACACCCCACCCAAACCAGCGCAGGGAGACGAAAGCGACAGCCGGGGCCGGGAGGGGGGCAGTGCAGCTGTCCTCTCGAAGCCAGGGGCCCTCGCGGCGGGTGTAGGTGGGGCCTGGAGAGGAGGCGGAAGGGCCGAAGCTGGGTGGGAGGGGCCCGGCCGCTGGGGCTGGAGCGCG